GCCGTTGGCACTCTCGGGCCCCTTATTTTCTCCAGGACAGGAACAACCTCAAGCTATTTTGCTTCCTTGGCAAACATCTATTTTCACTCCCTCTCTCCTCTTCCCCCCCCACCAAAAATCTTTTATTTTTATATGTTTTCGAAACATTGGTAGCTTGATGTTCCCTTTCTAATAAAATTCCTAAAGCACTAAATCCCCGTCTTACGCTCTCAAGCCACAAAGACAAAAGATTTCCTGCAAGCAAATCAGAAAAGTGGTTTAAACCTCTGAAATGCCACGTAGGTCAATAAGCAAAAAAAGGACTAAATTATTTCACAGGAGGAAAACTGAGGGAGGGACAGGGCTTGAGTTCAGCCAAAAAAGTGGCACCAGACGGGAAAGTCTAAAAGTTTAAGAGCAGCCACAAGAGTGTTGGCTTTGGAAGGAGCTGGGCGGGGGGGGGCACCCCCTCCCAGAAGGCCTTTTCCCTCCGGGCACCCCTTTCTTCCTGGCCAAAGGCTGAGCTCAGAGAAAGGCAAACTCTTGGAGGAGAGCCGACTTCTCAGCCTAGAATGGGCCCTGATGGTCAGCCTCCCGTTTCCTGAGGTTCCAAGGACCAATCTGGACATGGTGTGTGCGTGTGCGTGAGACCCCCTTGTCATATCAGGAGAGGGAGAGGCTGGGAAGGAGAGTCAGAAGGGGTCCCCAGCCAGCCGGTTGAGGGAGCAAGAACAGGGAGGCAGGGAGGGAGGGAATCTCCCAGCGAGCGCTGGTCTACTTGGCAACCCACTGCTCAGGGGGATGACTTTTGAGGGGTGGGGATGCGGAGGGGGGGGTCTGGTAGGCATCTCCGTTTGTGGCGTGCTGGCTGCTCGGACCTGGGGAAGAAAAACCACCTCTTTGGACCACAACTCCCATAATCCCCCTAGAAAGGGGGGGGTTGTCATCCCAAACTTCCCTTTTTTTGGCCGGTTCTGAGGTTGGTTTCTCAAGTGCAGAATTGTTCCCGGCATGGCTGGCTGTGGGCCAACCCTGCGAGGAAGGCCAGCGGGAATAGGAGCAGAGGAAAGCGGGCAGGCAGGCAGGGAGCACTTACAATCAGGATGAAGGTGCCTAGAAATTCGGCAAGCGCTTCCTTCACCAGATGGTTCTTCAAGGCGAACCTGTCCCTCAGACGCCTCCCGGCCTTCTTGGTCATCTTGGCTTCTTCCTCCTCCTCCTCCCTTCCTTCCTCCTCCTCGGCGTCTCCTCCTTCCTCTTTTGGAGAGGCTCAGGGCAGGGAAAAGCAGCCCTCAGCTTCGCCCTGCAGCCTCCTCCTGCTTTTTGGTTTGAACTTTGACTCTCCTCCGAAAATGTTGAAACGCGGAACGCCGGACAGCCTCGGCTCCGGTCTGGGAAGCGTCTGCCCTCTTCCAGGGATTTATGAAGCCCACGTTACATTCCCTGCTCGTCTCCTGTGAGTTTCCATCATGTGCCCCTGCGGTTCTCAGCCCTCGGATATGCTGGCACTATTTATAACTGGAGATAAGGCTCCTGCACCCAGCGGCCAGAGGTAGCCCAGTGGCTCCCAGTTTCTCACTGGCTGGATTAATTATTACCTGCCAATCAAGATCCACCACCCCAACCCGAAAAAAACATTTAGGCAGTTCTGGAACAAACCCAAAAAAAGAGGAGGAAAGGGTAGTGGAGGAAACGGCCTCTTATAGAAGCCGCTCGGCGCAGCCCGAGAGCGCCCATTGGCTGGTGCCAAAGAGCCCCCGGGAAAGGCCCTTGCAGGGGTGTTTGCTCAGAGGTGTGTTCAGTCCCTGCTCACCTGAGCAGGTGAGGGGGAGGATTAGGGTTCGGGTTTAGGAATGCATGGTTTTGTCTATACCTGCTCAGGTTTGCTCAGGGCGTGGGCAGCGGAGGCGGGCAAGGCAGGCTCTGGGGTCGCACAGCGCCTTTGCCTTGCTCAGCCTCTCCAGGAATCACACCTTCGGGGAAGGGAGGAGAGTCAGAGGAGCCCTAAGGACTCGGAGTCCTCAGGTCACCGCTCAGGAACATGTCTTGTCTTTTCTTTCTTGAATCACAATGCCCAGAATCCCCCACCCAGCACAGTCAAGAGGGGAGCTGCAATCCAAAGAAAAAGGAACATCTTCAAGAGAAATGTCTGTGGAACTCACTGCCACAGGATGTGCCCAGGGCTACCATCTCATGTGGCTTTGAAAAGGGAAGTGACCAAATCTATGGTGGCTGGGTGATTCGGGGACTTGTAGTCAAAACAAGTAACTTTTCTAAGGTCTAGTTAATTGTTCGTGGTCTGAAGACAACCCTCCCCTTGGCTGTCCTGATTCTTCTCTGAATCATGGCCTCAGATGTCCCTGAGTGTAGTTTTAAGATGAGCAGAAGGAGGAAAAGGCCTCCTCTTTTCGCTTCCCTCCCCTCCCGGCAAGCATTCTTCGGCCCGCCTCTCTCGTGCCCCTTCTGCCTGCCTTCTTTCCGTCTCCCACTCCCAGGCTCTGCCCCTGCAGACCAGAAATCTACACACCAGAATCCCCCAACCCCCCTATCTTGTGGCCATGAGTTCCAGGAACAAACTAAATGCTGCAACAATCTGTGGCCATTTGCAGAACTAGTGGAAGGGAGCTCAAAGCACCTGGGCCTCGGAAGGCAGTCTGGCATGACCTTAATTGGGGGCCTGGAGCCATATCTGAGGCTCTAAAACATTCATTTCTGGGTGTGGGTTCCCCAAATTTAAATATATGCAGATTATAATAACAATAAAAGCAGCTCAACCTGGTGTTGCTCCATGCAGTGCAAACCAATTCTAGTTTGGCTCTCAGTCCGCCAGACTTGGGAGGGAGACGGGGGGGGGTGGCACATGGGAGACGGTGCCCAGAGCATGCATGCATGTGCATCTTGTCCCCGGAAGTTGCACCTATGCCTGCCTGCAGCTGCGCCCCTATCGCTTCGCCCGGATGGCGTTTTTAAACAACATTTTGGCCCCACTGTTAGTGCAACAGAGTTCAAGTTGGCAGGCCCCGCTCTCTCCCGCCTTCCTTTAACCCACAACGACCCAGCGAGGGAGTTCAGCCTGAGAAAAAGGGAGAGTTTTCCTGGGCTGAGGACACCCCCAGGAAGGCCAGGGCTCAGTGAGAAGCGCCGCCTGGATCTCTCCTCGACCCAGACCAAGGGTCCAGAGCCTTTCACAGGCTGCCTTGCCCAAACTTCAAGGTGTGTGTGTGTGTGTTGGGGGGGGGAGGTGAACCTGCCTTCCTTGGCTCCCTGGGAGCTGGCCGTTGACCTCCTCCTTGAATTCCTCCTTCCCTTCTTGGGTCTTGCTGACTCAGTCCCACCTGGCATTATTTGGGGATTATGCAGATGGGAATTCAGGTATACTCAGGTGTCCCCCCACGCCCCTCTCCTGAACACCTCGGGCCTCACCTCGGCTAGAAGAAGAAGAAGGGTGGGGCACCCAACCGGCTCAGGTTACAGCACGCAGGCAGGGTTGTGATATAACTGCTCTTCATGCCAGCTTTTAGGGCTGGCATTGAAAAAGAAACAACGCCAGGGCGGGTGACCGGAGACTTTCCACCTCTCCGTCTTTTAGCACCCTCCCTCGTCAGCTCCTTAATGGCTTTTGCTCTTGTTTGCTGCTGGATCCGGATTACATGTTTGGCATCGGTTTCACACGCTCGTACAGGAACTTACTTTCTTCCGAACTGAAACTGGGTACATGGGGAGCCTCCCCTGGGCCGTCGCCCCTCCAGGCACGGGCCTGACCCAAGGGGCATGGCATCAGGGCGTGCTGAGATCCTGACTCGGATCATTGGTTCTGTGCCCACAGGGCAGCAGCACTGACTCAGATTAGTCAGCAGCACCACCCACCCCCACCCCCACTCCATACTAGTGAAATACATCTGTTCATCCCAGTGTGGCATTTTCCTCACCTCTGTATCTTGGATTTTAGAGTGCTTTGTCTTTTATTTTTAATCCTGGAAGGTAAGCGTGGGTTTAATCTGCCAAGTGTGAGGGCTGGGCCATTAAACTCTGTTGAGGAAAGATTACAAACCAGTTAATTCCAGGGAACTCACACCTTCTCTTATAATCTGCTTTGACCCTCAGGGGTAAATAAAGCAGTGGAATTAAGAAAGACTCTGGAAAGGCCCTTTGAGTCAGGCCTCTACAGGAACCAGGCTCCTTTGGGCTGGAAAGCAGAAAGGGGGCAAGATGGCTCCAGGTGGAGGCCCCAGGGTGTCTCTAAATGGAACCTTTATAGGGTGGCCCGGGCGTCGTTTCCTCCTGCCCCC